AAAGACGTGTCCTGTTTCTGTAGTAACTGATTCTAAAAAAAACTGAGGACCGATAATAATAAATTAAATCTTTTAAAATATATAGGACTAATTTTTAATATCCTTCTATGGGCTTCAACTGATTTTTAACATAATGAATTTTTCTACCATTACTAATTAAATTTCAAAAGTTTCAAAAGCGCTTCATTATGGTTAAGTACTACTGAGGAATCTGAAAAGATTTAAAAGAGTTTTTATTACCATGAGAATAATTTTTAAGACTTCAATATAATAGTTCTTACCTATTTTATTAAATCAAAGTAAATAATAATTCAATTCTAACTTTTCTGAAATTACGAACTGAATTTCAAGAGTTTGCCTTATTGCATTTTCACTCTATTTGTTCCTTCTTTATAGTTATGAATTCTGACATGCAATTTTGTAGATAGTAGACTATGTATTTCAAAATACATAATACGACAAACTTTTTATTGAAATGTCTCCAAATGTCCAATAAGTTTGCTATTTGTACTTAACTTTTAAAAGACTTTATTGAAGTCCGTGAATTTTTGATATAGTAGAGGTAAAATTGGCAACTTTTGTATTATTTTTAGTTGCCTTAGTTAAAAAATGCAATTTAATTAAAAATTCCCATGGTGTGCTGTAGGATTCGAAGCCCCTCTCTGACCACAAACTTACCTATAAATGAATATAATCGCGTGAGACCGTTACGCCACCGGCTCGACTATATCTAGTATCTTTGACAAATGTCGTCCTAATAATATAAAATCGACCTACAACTAATGACTTTAGTTCCCGCTGATCCAATATTGTGGACCATTCACCAATTAACTTATTTAGCATATCTATCTGAGCTTGAGACATGGAAGAATACAAACAAATATTATTTAAATCTGTATCATGCAATACTACACTTGGTTATTATTTGGAAATTCTAAACGCTCTTAAAGCTAAACTGATTTTTATTTAGGATATGAGCAATACTATATCCTCTCTAAAAATCCCCACCTCTTCTATGCCCCCCTCTCCAATATTCATAATATACAAGTATACTAAGGGTGGGGTATTAACCCTTCCACCAATGTTTACGTCGCGCGTGTCTCCTCAAGACTAGCGCTTCACGCTTCACTCTAGCTATGCTATGACCAATCAGAGTCAAGGATGTGTTTACGTATGCCCCGACGTATTTCCCCCATACTACAATAGTAATCACTGAGGTGTACTTAGATTAAACTCATTACACTACATGAAATAGATAGTAATTACTATCTAAGAGGTACTTACTATGCTCGTTACACTCTACCTGATATACAAAATAAATACTCGAGGTACTTACATCTCTATATGTATGAAATAATTACATTTATTACACTATGAAATTAATTATACTCATTACATGATGTACATAGTAATTGGGAGGTACTTGCTAATTAGGCAAAGGATGGGAGTGGGTACTTAGGATAATTACTAATTATCCAATTACCTCTCTCTGTACCTCTGACCTTGGTCCAGAACTGGCTAATCTCATCTACTCACTATTAACCGAAAATAACCACAACTTCTTACTAAAATGGATAATATTTTGGTTTTTCCATGGTGTTAGTAATCTTCAAGAAGATGATAAAATAACGATTAACCAGTGGCGGCCCGTGGGGGGTTCACAGTGACAGAATATCAGTACAGATGTATGAAAAAAACTTTCAGTGTTTTAGAATGTTTATACTATACCTTTCTAAAACACTGACAGTTTTTTACCTATATCCGTACTGGGATCTATATTCTGCTACTGTGAACCCCCAAAATTTTGGTCACGAGCCTCCCCTGCAATTAACCCTTAGATTATAGATTTCTATAATCTAAGGATTTATCCCATTTATATTTTTAATACAATTATAGTAACATTTATAGATTTTGAACCCTCAGATTACTTTTTACAATATAATCTGAAACCTTTCTTTCCACTTGTCATTAAATTTCACCTTGACATCAAAAAAATTTTCGCAGCATCGATATTTTTGTTCGTAGAGTATTTTTGGTCCGTCTTATAGAGTGTGTTAAGTTTTATACAATGACGCTAAGAGAACGTTATAGAATAAGCGACGCCTTTGATTATACAGAGATAAAACAATGCGACTGGCCCACTAATAGGTGCGATTCTTAGACCCATTTTAAGAAGTAAACTTCATATGAATGCATATGTTAAAGTCCTAACTTTTGAGATAAACGGTGTTAAAGTTTTAAGAAAAAAAAAATCAATTTTTTTATTGTCATTTTCATACTATTTTTATTAAATTTGGTGTATGGCGTTTGTGCATTAAAGAGCATTTTTTTACCTAAAAAATATTTTTTATTTCCAACAGTGGCGTCCGTACTGGACTCAAACTAGATATTTTTTAAGGAAAAAGTAGTAAAATATTTACTGTTGGTTAGTGCTATTGGGAACCGAGGTCTCGTTACACATCGCTGCTTATATAAAGCTTAAACGAGGCTACAATAACGTTCTAACAAATGTATTATCAAATATTGATTTAAGCTGAGGAATCATCGGATATATACCAGTCAGCTCGTGTATTTCTCCAAGACATTTCATAATGGAATCAGGTTTATTCTAATTATGTGTAATATTCCCAAAACAGAAACATCCATCAATAATTACAGATATTTAATTTTCACTAGTTACGTATGCAATTTAATGTTGGAAACAATCGTTATAGTTCTTCTGACAAAAGTAATTTTAATAGTTTTCCTTAGAATTATACATTTTATTTTCCTAAACCGCGAATCACCCCGTACCATCACCGCTTAAACAATATTGGAAATTGAAAAAAAGCTGCATTTCCATCTTATTTCCTTACATCTCGTTTTTCATTTCTCAAAACGTTGTCGCGGATGGAATTCGCGTATTTATTTCTGTTTCCATTATATTTAGTCGCACTGAACATTTTCCTCACCCTCTGATATATTCGAATGTCGCTTTCATCCACTCGTGATATATTGAATTATTTGGGAGTTTCTTGGTTTTTGCTCGTTGGGGTGTAAAAAAGTGTTCGAATAAAAATAACACCTCTTTTTCCTTCGTCAAGGCCACTCAGCGTTAAGATAAAATATCATGTTCTCTCGCTTGTAATGGAGCTATGAATGAACTGTTTCGTTTTATGTTGTTTTAACTTAGAAGTTATTACGTTTGTCACTGGAATTTGTAATATTCGGATGTTACGGTTAATAAATATGTAAAATTTTATTAATTGTTTAGTTATCAAGTGATTACCGATAGAATACAATGCACGAGAATCAGCCAACAGCACCAGCTGATCACACTAGACACTCAAGGCGACTCAAATCGTTCTGCCCGGGGGAGCGCAGACGACTGCCAATTAGTAATCACACAAAATTTGTTTACCTGCTAACGAATACTTAAAATAAATATAGTAACTTTTGGTTACTTATTTACATAGAGTCGAAAATTAATACTTGAAAAAAGTTATCAGTTTACAATTCTTCTACTGTTTAAATGCAGTATCGCATAACGTCATCACGCTATTACAATTGACGTCACAAATAAAAGAAATATCTTTCGGAATTTAACGAGTAACGAAATAATGAATGTATTCCTTTAATTTACACCATTTTGAATTGATAATTATCATTTTGTTTTTCTTTTAGACTTCTCATATGTAGAAATCTATCCAAAATACAATTTTGATACTACAATTCAATTTGTAGCAATAAATTGCTTAGGTATTCAACCTGTAAAGATTTTCCGAACTCGTTAAAAGTTTACAAAGTACTCCCACAGAATATGAAAATGAGATATACTCTAGTTTTAAACAAAGTTAAAATTTGAAAGAGACTAGCAGATTCCAGGTAGAAGATAATTGCAACGGCATCATATTTTAAAGTTAGCTAATTGGATAATTTAATAATTTATTTTTGAAATACCTGCAACCTGGTTAATCACTCAGTATATTTTTTTTAACAGGAAATACCGCGAAAATGATTATAAACTGGGGAATTTGCGGGAACAGTTATTAAAATTGTGATGAATTACATTATTGCCAATTTTTGGAGTGGTTAGGGGTGATTACCAGGCAACATTAATTAATCAACAGCTCGCGCCAATTAAAATTCTCGTTAGTTTGACATTTAACGTCACCAGAGTCGTTTCTAAAAGATATAAAACATGCAAACTGGCAGTTTGGAATGTTTTTTACCTGAAATTAAACTGGGGAAAACATGAATATCCAAAACGATTGAGTATGTTGACCTTTCATGAGGGTAAACTGAATTTTTTTAGGGGATCGAGCTGACAGAATAGGTCCTCACGGTCTATGGGATTGTAGAAACCTGTTGATTTATTTATTACATTCAATATTGCATCCATCATTCCTGATTTTTGTGGTACTCCTAGAAACATCTCTGTAATCTACACTATTTTGGCCGATAAGGAAGTTATCCTACAAATAAATACGTCATAGGCGTCATTCACTCCTCATTGGTCAACGTCACAAGCGTTTCGTTCACATAACTGCTACTAAAACAGTCATCGAGACCACATGCGTTTGTTGCTATAAGATAGGACGCTGTGTCCTTCAGTATGTAAGATGATAAGCCAAATTTCCCATAAATAAATCATGTGTAATGTTAAAATCAAATCATTCCATTCTTATTTGAAAATAAAAGTATTCAACCAAATATAATCTTTTAATTCAAGTATATATACCTCCCAGACCTATGGATCGCACAGGTATTTCAAACTTTCTTAGATGGTTCAATTGTAGCTCATGTTTAACTCCATAGTAAAATTTTGGATATTTTAAAAAGCAACATTTGTTGAATTGATTGAATACCAATTCAACCGCTTCTGAAACAATTTTGTCGGGATCTAATCGTAATATTATTAGGCTACAAATGAACAAGTTTGTATCGACGGCATTACACTGTTCCTGATGATGTGTTTTTGGGTTTACTTTTAATTATTATTATTTTTTCTTTATTTTCAGTACCGAAACAAATTGAACGAGCAACAAAATCAAAGGCTACATCAGCAACGCGAAGCTCTGACGGCCAGGCAGGAAGAGATGAGTGCAATCGACAAACGAATCTCCGAACTCCAAGAAAGATTACATCGCAAACGTTTGCTGAATCAACAATTGGCGAACCAAATAAGTGCCACTTCGCATAAAGCCGCCTACCATCAGTTAGTAAGGTAAATTCAGTCTACTTAGGTCTTTGCTTAAATCAACATGGGATATGTTAATTGGAAAGTTTTATTCCATTAAAGAAACAGGTTCGTTAAAGTTTGAAATTGATATTCGAAGAGGATTTGTAAATCTATCAGAATTTTTCTATACGTACTAAAATTTGATGTCTTTCAAACGTAAATGTTAGATGTATCAAGGGTTTATTTTTTTCAGACAATAAAGAAATAAAAAATCAAAAAGTTATTGAAAATTAGTTAGATCATCGAATGCAGAAATAACGTTGGACATTTATTTTATGACCCAATTTATGAATTTATTTGTATTAAATACAACTCAATACGACTAAATACGATTAAATACATCTAAATACGACTAAATACAACTAAATACAACTAATTACAACTAAATACAACTAATTACAACTAAATACAACTAAATACAACTAAAGACAACTAAATACAGCTAAATACAACTAAATACAACTAAATACAACTAAATACAACTAAATACAACTAAATACAACTAAATGCAATTAAATGCAATTAAATGCAATTAAATGCAATTAAATGCAATTAAATGCAATTAAATGCAAGTAAATGCAAGTAAATACAAGTAAATACAAGTAAATACAAGTAAATACAAGTAAATACAAGTAAATACAAGTAAATACAAGTAAATACAAGTAAATACAAGTAAATACAAGTAAATACAAGTAAATACAAGTAAATACAAGTAAATACAAGTAAATACAAGTAAATACAAGTAAATACAAGTAAATACAAGTAAATACAAGTAAATACAAGTAAATACAAGTATATACAAGTATATACAAGTATATACAAGTATATACAAGTATATACAAGTAAATACAAGTAAATATAAGTAAATAATAAATACAAGTAAATAGAAAAATTAAATGTAATGTTTATTTATTAAGTTTTTTTTTATTTTATTATAGTTTGTCATTTATTTCATGATCCATTTTAATTTATTTTAATTCAATACAACTATATACGAATAAATACATCTAAATACAACTAAATGCAACTATATAGGAGCAAATACAAGTATATACAATTAAAAACAGGTGACTACAAATAAATACAACGAAATACGAGTAAATACAAGTAAATACAAGTAAAAAAAAGTAAAAGTAAATACAAGTAAAGTACAAGTAAATAAAAGTAAATTTTCTTACATTTACTTACATTTTCATAAATATTTCTACATTTCTTAAAATTTCCTGAAACTTCTTAAAATTTCTTAAAATTTCTTAAAATTTCTTAAAATTTCTTAAAATTTCTTAAAATTTCTTAAAATTTCTTAAAATTTCTTAAAATTTCTTAAAATTTCTTAAAATTTCTTAAAATTTCTTAAAATTTCTTAAATTTTTTTAAATTTTTTAATAATTTTTTTAAATTTTTTTAAATTTTTTTAAATTTTTTTAAATTTTTTTAAATTTTTTTAAAATTTCTTAAAATTTTTAAAATAATTTCTTAAAATTTCTTAAAATTTCTTAAAATTTCTTAAAATTTCATAAAATTTCTTAAAATTTCTTAAAATTTCTTAAAATTTCTTAAAATTTCTTAAAATTTCTTAAAATTTCTTAAAATTTCTTAAAATTTCTTAAAATTTCTTAAAATTTCTTAAAATTTCTTAAAATTTCTTAAAATTTCTTAAAATTTCTTAAAATTTCTTAAAATTTCTTAAAATTTCTTAAAATTTCTTAAATTTTCATAAATTTTCTTACATTTACTTACATTTTCATAAATATTTCTTAAAATTTCCTAAAATTTCCTAAAATTTCTTAAAATTTCTTAAAATTTCTTAAAATTTCCTAAAATTTCTTAAAATTTCTTAAAATTTCTTAAAATTTTTTTAAATTTACTTACATTAAAAAAAGGAAAATAATTCCATCCCAAATGTGACCAAGACGTAAAATGAAATAAGTATTACCTAAAACCATTTGTCACAAAATAGAAGCGGCCGTTACCCTTTGGAAAACAACTACTCCTTTGGCAAATACTTTAACAGGTATTGAATTACATCCAAATGAAAGACAGCAGAAATAGAAATTAAACTTCAGCACTCTACCTTTGATTTTGATCACTAAGGTGAGCGTCATTCTTAGACCGGTTTCATTCTTATTAGGACTCATCAGCAAGAAATAGATAGTTCTTCATTCCAACGCTACATAGTGGATAATTTTTGTAAACTTAGTGGACACAACTCATTTTCAAAAGTTATAACAGAAACATTATTAGAATCAGTTGCTAAAAATAAACTGAGGAGATGCGGGAAATATTTGGTATTAGTTATAATTACTTTTGTTTACAAGAAAATAAAATAGTATTTTTAATGTACAGTTTTTATATAATTATTTTAGAATCTAAGTTTATTTTAATATCAGTGCATATTAATAAAAAAACCGTCGGTTTAAGTTAAAATATGAAAAAATTTTATAAAGTTTCACATGTCAAAAAATATTTCAACTGCAACGAATTTCAAAAAAATTATTAAAATGTTTAAAAACAGCATGGTTTAAGATTAGTTTCGCAACAAATTTAGCTTTGGGTTTCGATTCAAAATAGTCTGTATCTGAGTCGACATAAGCTAAGCTACAGTTTTGAAGGTTTAAAAAACATGTTTATACCGTCTTCCTATCTTTTAACTCTATTAGTAATGGATGATTTCAAATCATCCAAGTGTATTAACGTATGTACATTTAATTCTGAAAAACCCTGTATATTTACAATGACTCACTTTCCTAAACATCGAATATTTGATTCAAATCCAGATAGATACATATCAACCTGTTGCTTTATATCTTAAAACGTTTTTTTTTTCTCTCTTTCAGATTAACTGGAAGTCAAGATCAAACCAACCAAGCATTCATGAGAAAACACCAGCAACCAAACGATCGAAAAGGGTTTTCCAGAGGGAATATCGCCGCCGTTGAACCTTATAATCACATCCCCGTCCAAACGCAAACAAATCAACAAATCAAGAATATTAATCATCCAGACATGAAGGTAAAATTATTTAGTTCACGGCTTCCCTTTGTTAATTATTGATACACAAAATTGGTTTATGAAGTAGGCCAAGGAAAATATCACCCATGTACAATTAATTTTTTAAATGACGATTGGATTTAATTCAAAAGCGTGCGTAATTAATACTAGTGTTAGTTTTTTTATTTGTGGATTACTTATTCAATTTGTTTCTAATATGTCTATATCTAATTATTATTTATTCTAATTATTTTTTCGTTCGATTTAAAAAAAATATATTATTACCCATTTTTTACTTTTTCTTTTTAGTATAAATTTGTTTATTGATACTTTATGTACACTAGAAATAAAAATATATATGTATAAATCAACTAAAACAAACAAAAACAAACAAAAACAAACAAAAACAAACAAAAACAAACAAAAACAAACAAAAACAAACAAAAACAAACAAAAACAAACAAAAACAAACAAAAACAAACAAAAACAAACAAAAACAAACAAAAACAAACAAAAACAAACAAAAACAAACAAAAACAAACAAAAACAAACAAAAACAAACAAAAACAAACAAAAACAAACAAAAACAAACAAAAACAAACAAAAACAAACAAAAACAAACAAAAACAAACAAAAACAAACAAAAACAAACAAAAACAAACAAAAACAAACAAAAACAAACAAAAACAAACAAAAACAAACAAAAACAAACAAAAACAAACAAAAACAAACAAAAACAAACAAAAACAAACAAAAACAAACAAAAACAAACAAAAACAAACAAAAACAAACAAAAACAAACAAAAACAAACAAAAACAAACAAAAACAAACAAAAACAAACAAAAACAAACAAAAACAAACAAAAACAAACAAAAACAAACAAAAACAAACAAAAACAAACAAAAACAAACAAAAACAAACAAAAACAAACAAAAACAAACAAAAACAAACAAAAACAAACAAAAACAAACAAAAACAAACAAAAACAAACAAAAACAAACAAAAACAAACAAAAACAAACAAAAACAAACAAAAACAAACAAAAACAAACAAAAACAAACAAAAACAAACAAAAACAAACAAAAACAAACAAAAACAAACCAAACAAAAACAAACAAAAACAAACAAAAACAAACAAAAACAAACAAAAACAAACAAAAACAAACCAAACTAAAACAAACTAAAACAAACTAAAACAAACTAAAACAAACTAAAACAAACTAAAACAAACTAAAACAAACTAAAACAAACTAAAACAAACTAAAACAAACTAAAACAAACTAAAACAAACTAAAACAAACAAAAACAAACAAAAACAAACAAAAACAAACTAAAACAAACTAAAACAAACTAAAACAAACTAAAACAAACTAAAACAAACTAAAACAAACTAAAACAAACTAAAACAAACTAAAACAAACTAAAACAAACTAAAACAAACTAAAACAAACTAAAACAAACTAAAACAAACTAAAACAAACTAAAACAAACTAAAACAAACAAAAACAAACAAAAACAAACAAAAACAAACAAAAACAAACAAAAACAAACAAAAACAAACAAAAACAAACACAAACAGAAACAAACAAAAAAAAATTGTGTACATTCATGCATAACGTAATGTTTATTTTGAATAATTTGTGTTCTTTAAAATTTTTGATAAAATATTGTAATAAAGTTAACAAAAAAGTATCATTATTTAAATAAACATTATATTATTTATATTTTTATTTAACAGAATCCCGCCTACGACCTGTATCAACCATCCTTTTACACGAAGAAAGACCAAGAATCTCCGAAAGCAAATCACGGAATCCAAGATATTAACAATAACATTCCGAACATGTACTCGCCCAAACCCGAAGAAAACGACATCCTCAAAGAATTTTCCGCATCGAAAATCGATCCGAAATATCAAACTTTACCGTACAATACGAAATTCACCGTTAATCTGATCATGAACAAAATGAACAAAGAAGAAAATAGTATTAATATTAATAATAATAATAATGAAGAAAGTAAAGAGAACGATGTCGTTTTGCATTCTGGTCATATGACCGTACACAGCGCCCCTTTGTACATGGTTAATAGGAACATTGCTAAAGCTTTAAATCAACAGGATTTGTTGGCGAAGAATAATAGTGAGAATAAGGACGTTTTAGTAAACGGTCATGATGAAAGTTCGCATAGGGATAGGGAGATTTTAACAAATTATACTAGTTCTTCAACTATGCCTACAGCATATCAGGTATGTTAAATTTTTACTCATCAATAATTAATTTAGGAATTTAACAGTTGACACATGACATCCTCATCCTCCTCATCCTCATCCTCCTCAACCTCCTCATCCTCCTCATCCTCCTCATCCTCCTCATCCTCCTCATCCTCCTCATCCTCCTCATCCTCCTCATCCTCCTCATCCTCCTCATCCTCCTCATCCTCCTCATCCTCCTCATCCTCCCCATCCTCCTCATCCTCCTCATCCTTCTTCTCCTCTTTTTCCCTACAAAATCTGCACTCACTATCTTCTACTAATCTAAGTTTACTAAGATATTCTTTGAGTCGGCAATGCCCTGCAAGGACCTCCATTACTACGAGTAACAATTTTTTGCTCAGTCATTTACATGATTTCAATCATCCCTTGTAAAATTATTTTAATTGTCGATTCTTTTATTGAATTTTCTTCTTTTTTAATCTTTCCTAATATTGGGCTACTGCATAAAACAGCTCAGCTTCCAAAAAAAAAACGAGACTATCCACAATCACCTCACTATTCACCCAGCCGTGTCCCGGGACTCAATTGTGAATAAGTAACTAAAAAGTAAAATACCAATTATATTATTACTCGTAAGTAATAAAAATAATTACAGCCAGACACACCCTATACTCTATGTAATTAAATTAGGTACACCTTCACATGGGAATAAATACTAAAGTAACATCCAATTATACACACTCTCATTAAATGTTCATTAGAAATTATTACTGTCAACTATTTCAAAATTAAAAGCTTCGACTTTTGTAAAGTGCTATTAATTGTCAATCAATAAGTTTAAAAATTCGTTGAACCATTAACAACTAATTATAAACGATTATTAAAAGAAATTAAAACAATACATTATTTAATTTAAACAAAAATAAAATAAAACGGGAGCCAGGCAAATATACAGATCAAAAATTATTTTGAAAATGAGGGATTAAGATAAGAAAAACTTATTTTGAAAATATTATCTATGAAGCATTTGAATAACAAATCAATTCGTTTTAAAAAGGCAGATTTTATTTCAATGAGAACTTACATTAGCATTGGTCGTAGAAAAATATAGATATGTCTCAGTAGAATTTTCCTAATGAAAGCCTACATCCTACATTCACTAAAAATAGTCGTAGAAAAAGCATTGTAACCTAGTAGAGTTTGTGGAATAAAAATGAGAGCCAGGCAAATATGCAGACCAAAAATTATTTTGAAAATGACGCTTTAAGATAAGAAAAACTTATTTTGAAAATGTCTATGAAGTATTTGAATAACAAATCAATTCGTTTTTTTGAAATCGTACCAGTATATGCAAGATTCAAAAAAAAATGTCTAAAATATACAAATTCATATGCAAATGAGAGCCCATTTTGATAAAATGTTCAGGAGAGGATGAGTAGCAAAGTTAAAACTTTTTAAAATTAAAATTGCAAAACTTGTAGTAATAATAAACAAATTTTATTTGTAGAAAAACTTTATGCACTCTATTAATACGGTATGGAAATTGTTGTTAGAAAATAAACTAGCGTTGCGTTAACTTTTTTATAATTACTTCTTTGTAAACATTTTGAAAATAATGTCAATTACAAAATCAAAACTATTCGACTCTAGCATAATATTAGTATATTATTTTAATTTTGAAGTATGATATTCTTGTATTTTTATTTCTTTTAAACATATACAGAACGACAAGATTAAGATGACAAGTTAGAATTATATGCGCACTGGCAAATCTAAAAATAGGAGAAGTTATTTCAGTTAATAGCTGAACTTCAATGCTATTTTTTAAGTAATCTATTTGTATTCTAAGGTTTAGAACTTTCGCCCAAGGGGTGAAAGCTCTCGTTTTTTTGGGACTCTTTAAGTCCCAAAACAATGTAATGTGTAGAGTAAAGTTTTGTGTACGATTTGTAAATTATGGGTAAATATTTTTAACTTAATTTTAAAGTGTTTAATTTTCAAAATTATTAATTCAAAACTACCCAATAACTAAAAAAAATTTTTTTTAATTTTTTTGCCTTTTTTGATTTTTTTTTATATATAAAAATCTCCATAATTTTTATTTTGTTTAATAATAATTGATTGATTTACATATAAATGCCAATTTTACATTTGCGTCCCAAATTATTATATTTATCTTATGCATATTTTTATATTATTATGTAGTTATAGTGCTTTATTCCCTAAATGGAATTTTTTAAGACTATTAGTTGTTAACATATATTTGTTAAAGTTTTAATACTTATTATTAATCTTTCCTTCCTTTCCAAACCAGTAAAATACTCCAAGCGTTTGAGAAGCCTCGGCGTTTCTATTTCCTTAGGACTAAGAGAGTCTAAAACTAGTTGCCAAGAACCGCTCGACTATGCTATTAAGGGATAATTTTTATTCTTTGGCTGCCCTAATCCCTTAATAGTATATTAACAATAGTAGCTAAAGACCTATCAGTAGTTACAAATGGGTTTAGGCTAATTGATTGTTACTTACTATCTCAATTTTGTCGTACTGTAATATACATTAAATTATTTTTTTTTTACAGAAACCCGTCAGTAGCGTAGCACCTACATCCGTACAGCACACTAGTCTTCTATCTAACGTTTACCAAACCAGTTCTATAAAGGTTCAACCTGTAGAACCCCAAACTATTCATGGCACCAATACATCAACAAGCACTACAAGCAACTCTATACCCACTACAAGCAATTATATATTTAACGCCAATAATTATATACCTACTACAAACTACTATACACCAACTACGAACGTGTGCGTATCGACTGCAAGCAACTATATTCCAACTACTAGCAGTTTTAATAACTATACGACAAGTCCTAGTAATTACACGTCTTCTACTGTGCAATCTTCTGCCTCGCTAGTGCTATCGCCTCCACAATCTAGTAGTACGCCTTTGAGTAATACGCCGGAAATTGTGAAATCTCCGAAACCCGCTCTTCCTCCTAAACCTTCGATCAAACCACCTCCGAGACAAACTCAGGCTCTAAGCGACGAAAATGGAGCTTCGCCTGTTATTTCCAATGAGATAGTTGAAGATAGAATAGAAGGCAAAAAATTCGAGAGCAGTAATCAAAAACAAGGTAAGTAAATCGTTTTTTCAAACTATTTAACAAAAAAATTAATTAGCAGGGTTATTCTTAAACATGTGCACTTTTCAATTAAAAGGTTTTAGTAACTGTCGGAATAGTGAAGGGTCTATTGACTCAAGGAAACCTTGGATGTTGAGAAATTAAGTCGGCGAAGTAATACTGCTATATTAAAGTAAATTTTAGTGCCTGTCTGCTTTGGATGAATTAAAATAAAATTAAAAATTTGTATTATTATTTTTGTAGGTTCACTCACAACCACATCGAACAGTACAAACAACGCAAAAACGGAAATGATAATCAAAGCAAAACCACTTACAATTAAAAAACAACCTTTTAGTGAACAACCGAAATTGAGATCGCTATCTTCTATCCAAAACGGCCTAAATCTAAACAGAAGAATAGCGGAACTACCGGTTTTGACCAATTTTTCAAGCAACACAGAAAAAACGAATTCGGACGAAAAAGACGAAACCGATAAATCGTCGATCTCGGACGAAAACGATGAAAAATTCGATCACGTGATAAGGCGTTGTAAAAAAGGTAACTTGAAGCAAACTGGCAAACAAAATCTGAGTCGTAGAGTCAGCTTCGACCCTCTAGCGTTACTCCTAGACGCTAGCTTAGAGGGTGAATTGGAATTAGTGAAAAAAACTGCGACGCAAGTAACGAATCCTAGCGCAGCCAACGACGAGGGAATCACCGCTTTGCACAACGCCATCTGCGCGGGGCATTTGGAGATCGTTAAGTTTCTAGTTGAGTTCGGATGTGATGTAAATGCGCAAGATAGTGACGGTTGGACGCCATTACATTGCGCGGCCAGTTGCAATAATTTGACTATGGTGAAATTTTTGGTCGAACATGGAGCGTGTATTTTTGCCACCACTCTTAGTGACCACGAAACGGCGGCTGAGAAATGCGAAGAGGACGAGGAAGGATTTGATGGCTGTTCGGAGTACTTGTACAGTAAGTATTATTACGTTTTTTATGTCTTAATACTTGATAACTCGTGAACGGATAAAAAGAAAAACAGAAAATTTTAAAATTTCCATCTTACGGTGATCAGATTAGATTTTGGGCATAATCGGAACATCTGAGGCGGTCGTTTTTATACTTTATAAAATATATCTGGTATTTATGCTTGGAGAAGAAAATTCTTTAAATGAAAATTGCTCGTAATATTATTTTCTATAATTTTTGTTTCATACATAATTTTTCTAAAATGGATCCTATTGAAGATATTTGAGTATAAGTACAGGGTGTTCCATTTTGGATACTTTTGCGTTATTTTTGCGCTTTTCGCGATACTGTGCTATTTTTTTGTAAATGCCGTTAACAAAATTGTCGTATCCCTTTTAGTTTTTAAAATACAGGGCATTTTTGAAAATGTTGCATTTTGGGAGCCCCATCGTATCTTCGTTATCCTTCAACCTATAGAGAAGGTAAAATAACATTCCTATAGATTTTTTCCCGTAGAATGCAGTGTTGTAGATAATTTTTGTGGCGTATTTACTATTTTTAAATTATAAAGCAAACTTATGTGACTTTTCCCCGAAACATTAATCTTTTCAGGACCAAAACTAGAATAATCAATTAAATTTAGACCTCATTAATTTTATCTCATCAAAATTCCCCAAATGTTGTATTTAACTAATTTATTTAAAAAAATAAATTTTTGAATACTAAATTTCCAAAAAAAATTATTTTCTTTACTTTATCCAAATTATTTATAACTGACATTCCGCATTTACTCATTTTCAACAAAAGCAAACGAAATAATATACTTAATAAAATTTCCAATTAAATCAATTTAAATTCAAATTATTAGACTCTATTTCAAAACAAATTTGCACTATAATTATATAATGAAATGAAATTACTTAAAGAAAATTCATTTCATATTATGCTAGGCAGACGTTATTTGTTAATGATGAAATTAAATATGTTCTTTAGTTAACAACTTTATTCAAACTATAAATTTTCTTCAGTTTACACCAATTTTATCTAGGGAAATGATACGTATACTTAAAGCAATTAGCAGGTTAAATACATCTTGAAATTTAAGTTTCCAATGAATAGCGTCGAGCTCGCGACGGGATAAAGCAAAGATGATGTGTCAGAGGTAAAAAGAGTTCTCCTCGTTTGTCTTGTCGAGTGGAAGTGGTAGTGCTTGCAATTATGTCTCTTCGCGATTGGCTGAAAGAGCATCGGATTATGATTCAGTTTAATTTTTTCACAGAAAGATACATTTAACAGTCTTTTTTTTAGTATATTTCTATTAGCGAGAGTAAAACATTTATGAATGTCATTTTTAAACAAATATATATACGTACATTTGTCAAGACGGAGCTGGTCGCGATACTACCGAAAGGGTTCCCTGAGACTATCCTCAGTGCGGACGATCAAACCTTGTTGGAGGAATCCATAGTAGAAGAAATGTTTTCCGGGTGGGAGCACAATCTTTAACTCGAGGGCATTCGCTTTCGGCCAAGTATGGTAAACCCCCCAGTCAGTAGAGTAGCTCAGGATTAAAATCTCACACTTGAGCAACTGGAAGGGAGTTGAGCTGAAACGACATCCAGAAAGCACATATGCTCTTTCTCTTCAGAAGTAAAGGGCAGGCTATAAAGAAGCTTCTACAGTTAATAGAAGCATAGAATGTGGGGCTATCGACCACGCTTTGTAGAATCCTCAATAGGAGAGACGAAGATCAAGGTCAAATCCTCAGGGTAGAGATAGATGACCTATCCTTCCAAAAGATCAAGTATAATGGATACATTATCCACTATCGATTCGGGAAAATCCCCGTAGACGGCCTTCAAAAGAAAGAGGACATAACGGAATCGGGAGAAGACACAGAACTCCCACTACTTCCAAATATGAGATTGATATAGAGAGCATAGAGAGCCTTAACCTCTCAAATATCTGCGTAGACTCATTTGAGGATGTAGAAATAGATGAAGAAGCAGACAAGGTGGATATGGAACACCGATGAGGACAGTACCCTCATTAAAGAATAGGTAAATAACGAACATCGACATCGCCCAACGTAAATGTCTATCACGCTAAGGAAGCATTGGCTGCGATCTTCAGGATTTCATTAGGGATATCGTACTGACCCATGAACCGTAGGCCTACGGAACCCAGGTAAGAGAACTTGCATGTAAAGATGCAAGGGTAATTTTTCACACTAGTGATGAAGTACCCAGCATTATGGTAAGAAATAATATTAACTATTCTTTTCTTTCAGAATTTATAACGCGTCATCTCGTCCCAATTTGAGCATACTTCGAATTTGGGATGAGGCGTCAAGCTTTTAGTAACTTCACCGGAGATGGGCCTGTACCAACTCCGGAAGTATCGAGGTTAGTGGAGTACTGCCAGAGAAGAAATATGTCATTACTTCTTGGATGCGACGAAAACGCGCACAGCATCATATGGGGAAGCAACGACACGAATCAAAAAGGTGAGCAACTTCTAGAATATATTTATTGTGCAAAATACAGGGTATACTTTAACATTTATTACAAGGGTAAGAAGTGAGGTATTAGATATCATATTAAGTACAAATTGGAGAGAATCGAGTGAACCATCTCTATCTGATCACAAGATAATTGTGTTTACGTTAGAGAGCGACATTCCTGAGACGATCTTCAGGAGGAATCCTAGAAAAATATATTGAGACAAAATTTAGCATGTATCCAGACAAAAAAGGGGCCATGACACCCACTTGTTCTGGAAAGCGATCTCGAAGAACTAAATGGGGCAATACTTGAGGCAAATGAATCAAGATGCCCCATTCAAAGAAATAGAACTAGTAGGGATGCTCCTTGGTGGTACCGTCATCTGTCAAACTTACGATCCAAAGTGTGAAGCTGCAGATTCACCTTTTAATTGAATGTGTAGTACTCCAGAATCCAAAAGCACTATACCTAGGAGCATATCAAATAGAAGAGGAAGATTTACCTAACTTGAAGCCACTCCAAATCCTACACTTCCTTGAGAAGATAGGATTAGCGACATAAGGATGTACAATAGATCTTTTGGGTCACAATGTATTAACATCCCATTCCCAACATAACATAAGTAGTTAGAAATATTACTTAAGTACTTTGTATCAACTTTTTTCTTTAAGCAGTTTGAGGAGCTATTAATACAAGCCATTTCTAAGAAGCCTTTTGGAGCAGTTGTTTTCTCTTTTCAACATGTTTACATATTGAAAATTCATCGTGTGTTTATCCTTTATGGTATATTCTGCTAATGCACATAATTTCTATTACAATCACTTATATGAAGTTATTCGCCCAGATGAATTTCTTTAAGTTTGACCGATATAACTTTTATCACATTCATTACAATTCATTTTGTAAGCAACATTAGAGCTTTCTAAGTTATTTTTGGTGTACAATGAACCTATAGTTTTGACATTTCTTGTAACAATTTGAATGTTTCTGAATTCTATATGATGTATTTTTTTTTATAGGTGTACAAGAAAAACTAGGAATCCTGTCAGGTGGTATAGTGTACGCCGTTTTCGACTACACGGCCCAACAGCCTGACGAACTGAGCTTTAAAGAAGGGGATCAAATAACGGTTTTGAGAAAAGGGGACGAAAACGAGAGGGAATGGTGGTGGTCCATATTGGGCGATAAGGAGGGATACATTCCAAGAAATTTACTTGGGGTGAGTAATATTTTCATTAAAATCAGATTTGTTGCGGAGAAAATATCGTTTTAAGCAATCTATATAACTATTTTATATGTATCATTGACCCTGTCCAAAAAAATTGCCCACAGCGTTGCCATTATCATTATTCTACGAGCATAATTTTGACAGGTCGTTGGAATACGTAATAAGAGCTTGCAATTCTAACCAATCAATGAGTTTTACACAACTACTCAATTTTTAACCATTAAACATAATTTTTTGAATGCCTAAACAACTTTAAATGAATTAAAATTAAACAAATCAAGTTTAAGACACAGAAATCACAAGGATTTTAAAATTTGTCAAATGTCAAATAATCAATTTTATGTGGCAGCGATTATACGCTTGATCTGCTCTTACAGTTGATGTAGTGCGTTTTTGCCATAGACTATTAAAGAAAATAATATTACTAGAAAATAAACAAATTTATAGAATGTTTAATAAACACTTTTAGATTATTACCCAATTGAAAAATGTTTTTTATACATTATATTTTTTGAATCGTATACGATTTAAAAAATAATCTCTCAAATACTGCTCGTCCTTTCAAATTTTGGGTTTTCATACTCAAACGACTTAAAGTCTATTCAAATTTAATTTACGCCTGATGTAAACAGAAGCAGGTAGACGCTAAAATTGAGCAGGGCCGTATTTTACTTTTCCGTCTTACAAAAAAGAGTGTAATTGTGAAATTATTTTTTTATTACGATAAAAACATATTTTGTAAAGTAAAACTATAAAATAAATGCCATACATGGTCTCCCAGACTTTAGTGACATTTCTGGACCAAGATAGGTGAGCGACATAAACTGCGTTAACCTGCAATACAAATTAATAAATGTATTTGACTTTAAAAGAGATGTTTGCATTATATTTAGTTCATTACATATGTCTACTGTGATACAGAGCATTAAAACAATCATATTATAAAATTATATTGTACAGGGTGTCCAAATAATTGCAAATTCTTTAATAGCTAATATATATCTACTAAAAGCATTAAGAAAACTTTAAATATAAGAGGTATTTGGTATTTGATTTAAAATTGTGCATATTAAAATGAAACCTTTTGTATTTTTGACAACTTTTGTTCTTTATTGTTCTTGTTCTACTAGTATTTAGATTAGACACCTTGTACCCTGTATTATAGCAATCTTCCTTACTTGACTTAGCACTATTTTGAATCGGATAAATTAGTTAGACTTGAAGGGCTATCTTCATTAATCAAAATTACAAGTGGTTCTACTTGAACCTCTATAATATTATCCAATTTCCACATTTTTACTTCAACTTTTTGGCGAACATGGTCGATACACTTTTTCCATTTTTCTGGAGAAATTAATAATATTACTTCTTCAAAAAGAATCTTAATGTCTCCAGATTTAAATGTTGAGTTTTTATCTGCTACGTATTGTTTAACGTCAACCTAGATTAATTAAATAGGATTAAGTTCACAATGATACGGAGACATGTGAAGTATTATGTTGTTTTGCTGCTTAGCCATTTCATCTATTACATATCTATCATAATGTTTATGTTGCTTACCAAGTTTTAGAAGTTTGATCTTAAGCATTTGGTAGTCGAATTCAATTTTTTTCCCTTATAGCCATTTTTAAATATCACCTTTTTTAGACGTTGTAGATATTTTTTCCAGCTTTCTCGAATAATAATGCAGTTATCTTCTAATTTTGGTAGGGTGTTTAAAAACCACTCTTTGAACGATTCTCCACACATTTCTTCATGGTAATCACCGGATTTTTCAACTCAAATACATAAAGTGCATTAGAGACAAAGCCTTCTTCACTTCCAATATGGCATATGAGCTATTTTTACGCACATACCTGATGGGTTTTTAAAACCAGTTAAAAGTTCATCCAAAAAGGCTTGTCTGGATGAAAAAACCCACATATCGAAACATACTTTTGATTTGGTGTGGCCTGCGTTAATCCAAGTCTCATCAAGATAATATATTTTTTGCTTTTCTTCTCTGTACCGTTTTATTTTTTGTGGCTAGGACGAAACAATATCATTTTTGTCTAAAAGCAAACTATTTTTTCCTCGAGTTTTAAATTTAAAATTAAGGGTTTTGAAAAGCTTGTAAAATGTAGTTCGCTTAAAAGTAGACAAATATGGATCATCGTTGACTTCTTATAAAACCTTATCAATTGTTGGAAGTTAATTTCTAAAAAAGAATTGATGTACTTTGCGCCTTATTGCATTTTTATCAAAATCATCCACAGAGCCATTAATTTGTTTATAACGTAGCTTTCTTTTTGGTTCAGAAAATTTATGAATCTGCCTATACTCCTTCATAACATTCAAAACGGTTTTAGCGCACATCCTTGTTTTATCAGCAACTCTCCTTTCAACATCATGTACCAACATATCAGGGTTCTATAAAATTTAATGTTTATAAATATTAAGAACCATTTCTTTAGTACGGATGACCAAATGTCCCTTTTCCAGTCGCTTTTTAGAAGGAGTAAAAACATTTTTCTGGACTTTATTTGCTGTATCTGTGGAGGACATAGTGTCACGCAGCAATTATAAAATATAGTCAATTAAATGTTCATAAAATAGAGTAAAACATGTTCAAACTAACAACAACCACAAAAACAAAAAAAATAAATACAATATATGTATATCTAAACTATAATATAATGAATTATAATCAATCAAACATACAAAATGTCCAAACTTACCAACACGGTGAATGCTACCAAAACGCCGTTTATAATTATCCAAATTGAACTGAATTCGACTTTGACAAAAAATATTTGCGCGTCGTCTAAATAACTAACGACCGATTAACCAATAGAAGCGCAAAAAATGTCACGTGAGCTGTTGTTGGATGGGAGAAATTGTTTTGACGCGGCGTAAATGAAATCTGAATAGACTTTAGAAAATAAACAAATTTATAGAATGTTTAATAAACACTTTTAGATTATTACCCATTTGAAAAATGTTTTTTATACAATAAATAATCTTTCAAATACTGCTCGTCCTTTCAAATTTTGAGTTTCCATACTCAAACGACTTAGTGTCAGTCAAAACCGCTCGAATCAAACTGATTTAAGATAAAATCGATTTGTTTTCGTCGAAACTAAAAATTTCATCTTTAATAAATTGTATATTTAATCTGTTCATAGTTTTTTTTTTGTTTTCAGTTGTATCCAAGGGTGTTGAAGAATGAGGATTAGAACTCGTCAAAAATAATGGGATATGTGCTGAAGTAGAAGAAAACACAAATATATTTTTAGTCATCCTCTTTATATGGAATTGAAAGAGGCATTTGAACTGTTAATATTTTTCACTCAGTTTATATAGATTTTTTATCTCTCTTATAGTAGAGCTAGATTACATAAATATAAAAAAAACTAACAAATCTTATACAGAATATCCAAAATAAAATTAATAAGTTTATTTATTCTGGATACTCTGTAAATAAAGTATATCAACCTTTGCTCAATATATATTTATATATTGTTTAGTTAAAAGGTATCTTTTCTAAATTTCAGTATATAGTTATTTTTAACATATATTGCTTTAAACACTAATCGTTAATTTCATAATATATATTTGAGAATGTAAATATATAAATATGAAAATATTATTTATAAATAAAGAAATATAATTTTTATTTTATTTATCCTTTCAGAAACTCCTACACGTACATTTTTAATTTTACAACATGGGATCAGGTGATTATAATAATATGACTAAGTGATGAAAACAATTCTAAGTCATAAAATCTTTAGGTCATATTGAAATCGTTGGTCACCAAATTTGATTGTGCCACTATCTAATTAATAAAGCCCTACATAAATGATATTACTTGAACTAAAGCTGTTGAAAGAATGACATATACTTCAATAGGAGTGGTTCTGTTATTTCTTACGACTCAAGCCTCAAGTTATGGTGGAGAACAGGGACCGTATTGTGGCAACCCTTTTTTAATCTAGTTATATATTAATTTTCATGTTTCTTCTACATTTATTAATGAGTAAGTTTTCAAGATGTTTTATTTTTTATTCAATGTTCAGAAATATCACGATTTGATTATATTGTTATAACTCCGTTTTCTCTCTCTTTGTAGTGTCTCTGATGATGGCCTAACAGGCTGAAAGCGCTCAGACTAATATTACTGAGTTTTATTAATAAAACTCTACCTACACACTTTAAATACTTTCGATTCATTTCTTATTACTCAGTGTGTACACACCACTCAACCTCTTCAGAAAGTATTTACCTGAGATGATTCTTCAACAACTAATTCAACAGTTTCTTCCGAAGTTTCGGCTGTTGGTTCATTTTCCTTAGGTTTATGCAACAGAGTATGATGAAAGGAACTTTTAGAATCCCCTAATTTACCAGGAGAAATTTAATAAAAGAAGTCTAACAATAAATTGTCCATTTTTAACCCTATCAACAGTTTCTACAAATAATCTTTCTCAGAAAGAACACTTGTTAATGTAGGCGATTCTTCATCGGTCCAAAATTTCATTAGTTGCTCTTGGATATTTAACTTCTAGTTCAAGTTACTTTTAGATTGATAAAATACCCAACCTAACTTGGTTTTTTTGTAACATAGATCTATTTTTCACAAAGATAATTGACCCACACACAATAACTTATAGAATGTATCTACTTCAATCAACAAGTCTACTTTGCCACATTTTGTATTATTAGGAATTCTAGTAGGGATCTAAATTATTTATATAATTCATTTTTAATTCCAATTTCTCACAAAAATCTTTGGCAATCAAATTTGATTGCGCACCAGTATCTAATAAAGCCCTACATTAATTAGTTTCATCTTTTTCATCTATTACCTGAATCAAAGCTGTTGAAAGAATGACATATACTTCAATATCTTTAAAAGAGAAAGTATTTACCTGAGATGCTTCTTCAACAACTAATTCAGCAATTTTTTCCGAAGTTTCGGCTGCTGGTTCATTTTCCTTAGGTTTATGCAGCAGAGTATGATGAAAGGAACTTTTAGAATCCCCTAATTTATCAGGAGAAATTTAATAAAAGAAGTCTAACAATAAATTGTCCATTTTTAACCCTATCAACAGTTTCTACAAATAATCTTTCTCAGAAAGAACACTTGTTAATGTAGGCGATTCTTCATCGGTCCAAAATTTCGTTAGTTGCTCTTGGATATTCAACTTCTAGTTCAAGTTACTTTTAGATTGATAAAACACCCAACCTAACTTGGTTTTTTTGTAACATAGATCTATTTTTCACAAAGATAATTGACCCACACACAATAACTTATAGAATGTATCTACTTCAATCAACAAGTCTGCTTTGCCACATTTTGTATTATTAGGAATTCTAGTATGAATCTAAACTATTTATATAATTCATTTTTAATTCCAATTTCTCACAAAAATCTTTGGCAATCAAATTTGATTGTGCACCGGTATCTAATAAAGCCCTACATACATTAGTTTCATCTTTTTCATCTATTACCTGAATCAAAGCTATTGAAAGAATGACATATACTTCAATATCTTCAAAAGAGAAAGTATTTACCTGAGATGCTTCTTCAACAACTAATTCAGCAATTTTTTCCGAAGTTTCGGCTGCTGGTTCATTTTCCTTAGGTTTATGCAGCAGAGTATGATGAAAGGAACTTTTAGAATCCCCTAATTTACCAGGAGAAATTTAATAAAAGAAGTCTAACAATAAATTGTCCATTTTTAACCCTATCAACAGTTTCTACAAATAATCTTTCTCAGAAAGAACACTTGTTAATGTAGGCGATTCTTCATCGGTCCAAAATTTCATTAGTTGCTCTTGGATATTCAACTTGTAGCTCAAGTTACTTTTAGATTGATAAAACACCCAACCTAACTTGGTTTTTTTGTAACATAGATCTATTTTTCCCAAAGATAATTGACCCACACACAATAACTTATAGAATGTATCTACTTCAATCAACAAGTCTACTTTGCCACATTTTGTATTATTAGGAATTCTAGTATGAATCTAAACTATTTATATAATTCATTTTTAATTCCAATTTCTCACAAAAATCTTTGGCAATCAAATTTGATTGCGCATCAGTATCTAATAAAGCCCTACATAAATTAGTCTCATCTTTTTCATCTATACCTGAACCAAAGCTGTTGAAAGAATGACATATACTTCAATATCTTCAAAAGAGAAAGTATTTACCTGAGATGCTTCTTCAACAATTAATTCAGCAATTTCTTTCGAAGTTTCGGCTGCTGGTTCATTTTCCTTAGGTTTATGCAGCAGAGTATGATGAAAGGAACTTTTAGAATCCCCTAATTTACCAGGATAAATTTAATAAAAGAAGTCTAACAATAAATTGTCCATTTTTAACCCTATCAACAGTTTCTACAAATAATCTTTCTCAGAAAGAACACTTGTTAATGTAGGCGATTCTTCATCGGTCCAAAATTTCATTAGTTGCTCTTGGATATTTAACTTCTAGTTCAAGTTACTTTTAGATTGATAAAACACCCAACCTAACTTGGTTTTTTTGTAACATAGATCTATTTTTCCCAAAGATAATTGACCCACACACAATAACTCAGAACGTATCTACCTCAATCAACAAGTCAACTTTACCACATTTTGTATTGTTAGGGATTCTAGTATGAATCTAAACTATTTATATAATTCATTTTTAATTCCAATTTCTCACAAAAATCTTTGGCAATCAAATTTGATTGCTCACCAGTATCTAATAAAGCCCTACATAAATTAGTTTCATCTTTTTCATCTATTACCTGAACCAAAGCTGTTGAAAGAATGACATATACTTCAATATCTTCAAAAGAGAAAGTATTTACCTGAGATGCTTCTTCAACAACTAATTCAACAGTTTCTTCCGAAGTTTCGGTTGCTGGTTCATTTTCCTTAGGTTTATGCAGCAGAGTATGATGAAAGGAACTTTTAGAATCCCCTAATTTACCAGGATAAATTTAATAAAAGAAGTCTAACAATAAATTGTCCATTTTTAACCCTATCAACAGTTTCTACAAATAATCTTTCTCAGAAAGAACACTTGTTAATGTAGGCGATTCTTCATCGGTCCAAAATTTCATTAGTTGCTCTTGGATATTTAACTTCTAGTTCAAGTTACTTTTAGATTGATAAAACACCCAACCTAACTTGGTTTTTTTGTAACATAGATCTATTTTTCCCAAAGATAATTGACCCACACACAATAACTCAGAACGTATCTACCTCAATCAACAAGTCAACTTTACCACATTTTGTATTGTTAGGGATTCTAGTATGAATCTAAACTATTTATATAATTCATTTTTAATTCCAATTTCTCACAAAAATCTTTGGCAATCAAATTTGATTGCTCACCAGTATCTAATAAAGCCCTACATAAATTAGTTTCATCTTTTTCATCTATTACCTGAACCAAAGCTGTTGAAAGAATGACATATACTTCAATATCTTTAAAAGAGAAAGTATTTACCTGAGATGCTTCTTCAACAACTAATTCAACAGTTTCTTCCGAAGTTTCGGTTGCTGGTTCATTTTCCTTAGGTTTATGCAGCAGAGTATGATGAAAGGAACTTTTAGAATCCCCTAATTTACCAGGATAAATTTAATAAAAGAAGTCTAACAATAAATTGTCCATTTTTAACCCTATCAACAGTTTCTACAAATAATCTTTCTCAGAAAGAACACTTGTTAATGTAGGCGATTCTTCATCGGTCCAAAATTTCATTAGTTGCTCTTGGATATTTAACTTCTAGTTCAAGTTACTTTTAGATTGATAAAACACCCAACCTAACTTGGTTTTTTTGTAACATAGATCTATTTTTCCCAAAGATAATTGACCCACACACAATAACTCAGAACGTATCTACCTCAATCAACAAGTCAACTTTACCACATTTTGTATTGTTAGGGATTCTAGTATGAATCTAAACTATTTATATAATTCATTTTTAATTCCAATTTCTCACAAAAATCTTTGGCAATCAAATTTGATTGCTCACCAGTATCTAATAAAGCCCTACATAAATTAGTTTCATCTTTTTCATCTATTACCTGAACCAAAGCTGTTGAAAGAATGACATATACTTCAATATCTTCAAAAGAGAAAGTATTTACCTGAGATGCTTCTTCAACAACTAATTCAACAGTTTCTTCCGAAGTTTCGGTTGCTGGTTCATTTTCCTTAGGTTTATGCAGCAGAGTATGATGAAAGGAACTTTTAGAATCCCCTAATTTACCAGGATAAATTTAATAAAAGAAGTCTAACAATAAATTGTCCATTTTTAACCCTATCAACAGTTTCTACAAATAATCTTTCTCAGAAAGAACACTTGTTAATGTAGGCGATTCTTCATCGGTCCAAAATTTCATTAGTTGCTCTTGGATATTTAACTTCTAGTTCAAGTTACTTTTAGATTGATAAAACACCCAACCTAACTTGGTTTTTTTGTAACATAGATCTATTTTTCCCAAAGATAATTGACCCACACACAATAACTCAGAACGTATCTACCTCAATCAACAAGTCAACTTTACCACATTTTGTATTGTTAGGGATTCTAGTATGAATCTAAACTATTTATATAATTCATTTTTAATTCCAATTTCTCACAAAAATCTTTGGCAATCAAATTTGATTGCTCACCAGTATCTAATAAAGCCCTACATAAATTAGTTTCATCTTTTTCATCTATTACCTGAACCAAAGCTGTTGAAAGAATGACATATACTTCAATATCTTCAAAAGAGAAAGTATTTACCTGAGATGCTTCTTCAACAACTAATTCAACAGTTTCTTCCGAAGTTTCGGTTGCTGGTTCATTTTCCTTAGGTTTATGCAGCAGAGTATGATGAAAGGAACTTTTAGAATCCCCTAATTTACCAGGATAAATTTAATAAAAGAAGTCTAACAATAAATTGTCCATTTTTAACCCTATCAACAGTTTCTACAAATAATCTTTCTCAGAAAGAACACTTGTTAATGTAGGCGATTCTTCATCGGTCCAAAATTTCATTAGTTGCTCTTGGATATTTAACTTCTAGTTCAAGTTACTTTTAGATTGATAAAACACCCAACCTAACTTGGTTTTTTTGTAACATAGATCTATTTTTCCCAAAGATAATTGACCCACACACAATAACTCAGAACGTATCTACCTCAATCAACAAGTCAACTTTACCACATTTTGTATTGTTAGGGATTCTAGTATGAATCTAAACTATTTATATAATTCATTTTTAATTCCAATTTCTCACAAAAATCTTCGGCAATCAAATTTGATTGCGCACCAGTATCTAATAAAGCCCTACATAAATTAGTTCCATCTTTTCCATCTATTTCTTTAATCAAAACTGTATATTTATGCATTTATACATACTAACCCTACACAGACGAAGATATGGACTCCATCTACACTTAGTAATCATAACCAAAGCTCGCTCTGGATGACAAAACCTCAGGAAACTAATACAACCAAACGATTTTATCTTATCTTCCTTTATTTAATAACACATTACAGTAAATTTCAATTTTGTATTTATTTTTTTATAAATACACCTAGTTTATTTTCTTCTTCTTGTTTTACCATCATGCAGCTGCTACTGTAAGTAAGTTTATGAAATAAATAGTCTTCTTTGAGCACGCTTTTTTTAACTGCGCCTATGGTGGTTCTAGGAAAATGTTCCAGTAAAATGATTTCGGTCGGCCAATATTTTTCAGGTAACCTACCACAAATATAACTGAAATAAAATGAATTGTTATCGACAATGAAGATATTATAAAAATATATGTCATTTCCCCTCTTACCCCCTTTTATGCGTTTTATGTTTTATATAAAAATTAATGAAAAATAAAAATAAAATATAATTAATGAAGATAGACTATTAGACTTTCGATCTCCTCAGGTTTCGTTCTCCCCATTTTCCCCCTTTTTTTAACAATTTAAATAAATGAAAAATATTCGAATTTTGAAAAAAAGTGAATTATTTTAAGAAAAAATGTTATTTAGAAAAAAACCCCCCAAATACGACTAAATTGTAAATTTTTAATGTGATTTTTTTATTGTAAAAGAAAGTAATTTTTGTCAAAAATCAGTAAAAAAAATTTCAAATGACAAAAAAATAGAGTTTCCCAACAACAAACAACTATAGACTAATTTTCTTTACAATGTTGAATTATTATCCAACATAGTTGCCAAATTTTAGAAAAGTATGAAACTTATTTTGCAGTGTGAAGCGTTGTAATCGTAAATTCCTCTCAAATACAAATTTTCAATCCCCACTCAATTTAGTGTACGTCTCGCTCTTTTTAATGCAGCAGCCGAAGCGATAGTGCTGTCTATCTAAAGTAAAACATATTTTGAATGCTTACAAGTCAACAAATGTTTATTAATGAAAGAAATAGTTTAGTAGTTGTTCGTGTTGAAGTTTCTTTACTATATACTGTAGATTTCTGTCAAATAGTTGCGGTTTCTAAGATAAAAATTGTTACAGGTGAGGTAATGTCGCCCTTATAATTTTTTAAATTATATTCAAACAATCTGAATTGGTCTTTTACAATATAAGCCTATTTTTCTCTAAAGATATTTGACCTACACACAATAACTACTCTACTTTAATCAACAATTCAACTTTACTACATTTATAATAAGTTGAATATGCTATTTTTTTTACTGTTAGGGACTCTAGGATGAATGCCATCTAAACTTTTTTCAAGAAATTTCTCACTAATTTTACTATTATTTAAGTATTTTAAACATATACATAATTAAAAAAAAAAACTTACATTTGTATTTCTTTGGCAGTTAGAGGACTTTCAGGTACCTTTTGAACCATCGCTACCACGTCTTTATTATTCCCGATAACGACTGCGTCTTTAACTTTTTCGTGACTGGAAATACAATCTTCTATGTCTGTTGGTATCAAGGACCAAGTGTCATATTGAATTAAATCCTCTATTCTTCCGGATACGTAGAGCCAACCGTCCTCGTCAAATTTGCCCATGTCGCCTGTTTTGAAATATCCTTTGTCCATTGATTCAATGGTACGTTCTTTATCTTTAAAATAACTTACAAGAAATACATTTTTAATATCAGGAAAAAAATCAGTTATTGATAATATTAAAAAGTATACACAGATAAGTAACAATTAATATGCAGTATCGCTCATAAAAAATAACAACTCATATTTCATATCTAATTTTTTATAGAGCTTCAAAACGTTCCAATCACCAAGATCACAATTTCTTGGAATATTCACAAGAAATTTTGGTTCCATCTAGTTTAATTGAAAAATCTGAACTAGATAGGGTCACTACTTATATTTAGGGAATGATTCAAAGTATCCTAAAGGCGACATCATCGTTGTAGATTTTCGAATCGTTAATCAATCACCAAATCCACAATTCTTGAAATATTTACAAGAAACTTTGGTGATACTTTGAAAAAAGTCCTTTCTAATTAAATTAAAAATCTGAACCAAATAGGGTCACTACTTAAATTTGGGGAATGATTCAAAGTATCCTGGAGGCGACATCGATGTAGAATCAATCGCCAAATCCACAATTCTTGAAATATTTACAAGAAACTTTGGTGATACTTTGAAAAAAGTCCTTTCTAATTAAATTAAAAATCTGAATCAAATAGGGTCACTACTTAAATTTGGGGAATGATTCAAAGTATCCTGGAGGCGACATCGATGTAGAATCAATCACCAAATCCACAATTCTTGAAATATTTACAAGAAACTTTGGTGATACTTTGAAAAAAGTCCTTTCTAATTAAATTAAAAATCTGAATCAAATAGGGTCACTACTTAAATTTGGGGAATGATTCAAAGTATCCTAGAGGCGACATCGATGTAGATTTTCGAATCGTTAATCAATCACCAAGTCCACAATTCTTGAAATATTTACAAGAAACTTTGGTGATACTTTGAAAAAGGTCCTTTCTAATTAAATTAAAAATGTGAACCAAATAGGGTCACTACTTAAATTTGGGGAATGATTCAAAGTATCCTGGAGGCGACATCGATGTAGAATCAATCACCAAATCCACAATTCTTGAAATATTTACAAGAAACTTTGGTGATACTTTGAAAAAAGTCCTTTCTAATTAAATTAAAAATCTGAATAAAATAGGGTCACTACTTAAATTTGGGGAATGATTCAAAGTATCCTAGAGGCGACATCGATGTAGATTTTCGAATCGTTAATCAATCACCAAGTCCACAATTCTTGAAATATTTACAAGAAACTTTGGTGATACTTTGAAAAAAGTCCTTTCTAATTAAATTAAAAAGCTGAATCAAATAGGGTCACTACTTAAATTTGGGGAATGATTCAAAGTATTCTGGAGGCGACATCGATGTAGAATCAATCACCAAATCCACAATTCTTGAAATATTTACAAGAAACTTTGGTGATACTTTGAAAAAGGTCCTTTCTAATTAAATTAAAAATCTGAACCAAATAGGGTCACTACTTAAATTTGGGGAATGATTCAAAGTATCCTGGAGGCGACATCGATGTAGATTTTCGAATCGTTAATCAATCACCAAGTCCACAATTCTTGAAATATTTACAAGAAACTTTGGTGATACTTTGAAAAAGGTCCTTTCTAATTAAATTAAAAATCTGAACCAAATAGGGTCACTACTTAAATTTGGGGAATGATTCAAAGTATCCTGGAGACGACATCGATGTAGAATCAATCACCAAATCCACAATTCTTGAAATATTTACAAGAAACTTTGGTGATACTTTGAAAAAAGTCCTTTCTAATTAAATTAAAAATCTGAATCAAATAGGGTCACTACTTAAATTTGGGGAATGATTCAAAGTATCCTGAAGGCGACATCGATGTAGATTTTCGAATCGTTAATCAATCACCAAGTCCACAATTCTTGAAATATTCACAAAAAATTGTGTTGATACCTTAGGAATAGTTTCTTTTAAATAAATTGAAAATCTTAAATAGATAGGGTCACTACTTAAATTTGAAGAATGATTCAAAGTATCCTGAAGGCGACATCGATGTAGATTTTCGAATCGTTAATCAATCACCAAGTCCACAATTCTTGAAATATTTACAAGAAACTTTGGTGATACTTTGAAAAAACTCTTTCTAATTAAATTAAAAATCTGAATCAAATAGGGTTACTACTTAAATTTGGGGAATGATTCAAAGTATCCTAGAGGCGACATCGATGTAGATTTTCGAATCGTTAATCAATCACCAAGTCCACAATTCTTGAAATATTCACAAAAAATTTTGTTGATACCTTAGGAATAGTTTCTTTTAAATAAATTGAAAATCTTAAATAGATAGGGTCACTACTTAAATTTGAAAGTATCCTGAAGGCGACATCGATGTAGATTTTCGAATCGTTAATCAATCACCAAATCCACAATTCTTAAAATATTCACGAGACATTTTGATGAGACCTTCAGAAAGGTCTTTAAATTTGTTGTTCGTTATAAGAAGAAAACGACAAATGAATCATTTAAATACTGAGAAGAGCAAATTATATGTCTGAGTTTTTCTTTTCCTTCATTTTGTGAATTAAGAGTTTTCGAAAAGTGGTGATATAGCCTTTTGATTTTAAATGTTGTGAACAAAAATTACGTTTTTCTATCCTTATGTTAGAATTGATTAATTTTAAAATAAGATTCTTAAGTGCAACATTTACTCACCCTAACATCAACCCGTCTCCATTAAAGAAAACCTCACCATAAACGTTTGAACAGCATAATTCCTTGGTTTTAAAATGAACGATTTTTATTTTGCAATTCAGAGTTAGTATACCAACAGCATCTGAAGGTTTATTTAGAGCCATAGTATAATCTTTGACTCTTGTTGCTGCTATACATCCGGTCTCAACCATGCAGTAAAGAGGAAGGAATTTTACCTCCGGCAACTTCGTCTTTAATGTTCTGATGTCGTATTTAGACGTGTCGACAATGCCCACCAACACACATTTAAGGCATTTGATGTTGTAATCCTTAATAGTAAAAAGAAAAACACTAATAAATCTATAGAATTTGCAAAGTGCTTGGTGCTCGAAGCACTTTTTTCGAGTACTTAGAACTAGTTCTGGGCAAGATATAACTTTCTCATTTTGTAGAAAAATTCCGTTTAAGTAAACATAAGCTCCGACTCTTTCCCACTCACAGACCTATTTTACTCGTACTCGCATAAGCTCGTTTAAAATAAATTGTTAAATGCAAACGCTTACTTAACAGTTTTTAAAACATCACTCTCTCCCTCTCTCTACACACTAACCCAGGTCAAACAACACCATTTCTTTAAACCAATCACAAGAAAATATCATGGATATTTTTTCAATAGAGAACTATTCGAACTTCCAAGCAAGCAAGAACAAAATCAATCTCCGTGGTAAAAGATCGTAATTGTAACAAGCAACTATAAAAAAATCTTTTAAACCATTATGTCTTGAATTCAGTTATATTTAAAAGTATTGCCCAATGAATACAAAGTTTATAGAATTAAAATAAATAAGTTATCAATGGCAACTTCACAACAATCAATCTATCAAGATTCTTCATTTGTATACAGTCCACAACTCCATCCATAAGATGGAGGAAACCCTTCAGATGAAGTAATATATTTGAAGATATTTTAAAAACATTCGTTAGTTATGTATTTATAATGCAAGGAGAGTGAGTTGCTCCTCATTGGGCACATTGTGCATCCACCTAAATTGACAAACCTCCTTCTTAGCACGTCAACTAGCCAAAACAGATTTGTAACTTCGTTACTTATACACACCTTAACAGCGACGCTTTCCGCCAATTTCATAGCATAATCCGTTCCCAAAATGGCGTATCCAATTTCAAAATCGTGTATAATTTTACAAGCAAACTTTGCAGTAAACGATCCAGGTATAATCAAGGTCGTTGAAGATTCGAGACAAACGCAAGTTAAAATGGTTTGTAAAACCCATGACAGAGGAAAGAAAGAAATAATTCTGTTTGGAAATTCTAAAATCTCTTCGAAAACCGAACATTGCAAATAAATGTTATCGTGCGAAAGACAGATCAATTTAGGCTTGCCAGTAGTGCCCTGCGTTGGTAATATAAAAGCGACATTGTTTCTGGTATCTTCTATGAATGTTGGTCGAAAAACTTCGTCTTCTTTGTGATTAAATAATTTTGCAAATGGTGATATTCCTAAAAGCAAAAGTAAAGTAACTAATAATTACTCGTTTACATTAAGATTAACATGTGCATCTGTCGCATTGTTTAAACTTGAGATTACAATCTTAAATTCAAACATAATATTTTGCAGATCGTCTCTGTTCAATTTATTTAAATTAAAATCACTCTTGCTCTACACACGCATTCAAGATATAGTACAAACTGAAAAAAAAAAAATAACCCAATAGAATTTATTCCAGGCTCTAATAGGTTACGCCCACTCACATAAGAATTAACTTAAAAATTAGCTACTTGCCTCACTCCTGTTTCAATCGTTTAATAGAAATGTTTCGAAGTCGATATCTCTTTATATACATTCGAATTCTCGCTAATATGTCGTTAAAGATTAGAGATCTCATCTTGATTCGTTTAACATTTTTAGTTTACTAGTTTTGTACATATATATTCCTCATTTTGTAACAAACAGACTTAGTCTAATGCCATTATCTTTCTCTCACATACACATTTTTACAAAATATAAGTAGAAACTCACCTAATCCTTCTTGAGTGAAACTAAAAACCTCCGTATTTAAATTTAAAGTATACAGAATCCTTTCTAAATGCGCGCTTGTTCTAATATCTCCAAAACACATTTTAGGTTTTAATTTCTTTAAGAGATGCTGCTTTTCTGCGTAAGTATATTCTGGATCTAAAGGAGCACATATAGCTCCTAAAAATAGAGTGGCCAAAAGAACTAACAAAAGAGAAAACTTGTTTAACATTAAAAGTCTACATACTAGGTCTGTTCTAACAACCAGTCATTGACACCAGGATTTTGCGCAGTAGATTATTATGACAGGTTTTGGATCGTTGTTGGAACATACCTATTGTTTCTATTTTTACAATAATTACATACCTATAACTTGATCAGCATTATTCTTGCTACAAATTACTATTATATCCTGCTGTGACACACCTCGAGCACTCATTTCTAAAGCCAACTGAATGCTTCTTCCTCTAACAGACCCTCTTGTTTCTGTATGAGATCGACTTATATCTACCTTAACAGAGAGACACAGAAATATGTGGATGGGTACTTATTAAGAATCTTCTATTTAGTATAAATCAACTCTTGAGTTTCTTATTATCTATACCAATTTTTTTTTGGTTTGTTTTCACTCTTAGAGGTTTAGAAATGTTTTTAATACTTTCATATTTGATTTTTAGTACCTATTTTACTGAAGATGACTGATTTAGATCATTTAGGTCATTATTATATTGATTTATTGTAAAATAAGTCTTTGGTAGCAAAATTTTATTATTACCAACTAAATAGTCAAGACGTCCTTTCTGGAAAACTTTCTATGTCTATAAGCAGTTCAAACTATACCACTCATCAAACAGTGCCAGTAGATGTAGAAGTGAAACCAATATAGTAACATGGCTGCTAGGAACTATGGAGGAAGGAACACCGATCATGATGAAGCCTTGGAAGCAAGATGAATGGGTTGGTCAAGGAATCCTGATTGGAATGGGGTTGATCACGTTTGATAAAGAAACTGTAGTTAACGATGTGTGGGCCTATACCAAAATTACAGTTGAACCAGAAGACGATCTCTTAAGATGAAGCCACAATGGAAAGAAGAAAATCGTTGGCCTACTTGGCAAGAAGTTTCAAAATTCTCTCTAGTAGTTACGTCGTATTTGGCCCAGTTGGAATCTTTTCTTGAAAGAAGACTTATTAGAACGAGTTCTCGAAAATTATGATTCTGAAAATAGAGGACAGTTGGTCATTCTAAATACTAAGACTAAGAAACCCCTTTAGACTGCTTCAGACGGTTCGTGAAAGGTTTTATTGGATGAACAATACCGAAAATGTAAAAATACATGATGTTGGTTATGGATGACTTCACGAAGTGGTTGAGAGTCTACATCATTCCAAATCAAGAGGCCGCAACTGTTACAGACGTGTTTATCACTCATTTGGAGGGCTCTTGGAGATCCACAGTGATCAAGGCAGAAATTTTGACAGTCAGCTTTTCCGAGGAATCTGTTAAAGACTATGCGTGAAGAAAACCAGAACTGACGCCTTGTACTCACTGTCTGATGGAACTGATGGAATGGTAGAGGGAATGAATAAGATACATGTCAAAAATGCTTTCCAATTATCTGTTAAATTGGGATCAGTATTTTTTCGGTCTTCACAATGGCCTATAGATCCGCCATCAATGAATCAACAAACCAAACATCTGTTCGTACATGAGATATCGAGTTTGGATGCCAACCTGGAGAAGATTTAGCCGGTGAATAGTATGTAATACTGTTACGCTTGCATCTTAAAATCTTCATCAACTTTACGATACTCAAGCCACAGAATGATGGTTCGAGGTAGGCGACAAAGTCTGGCTTCATAACCCAAGAAGATAGAAGAGTTATTCTCCGAAGCTACAAATGTCTTGGGAAGGTTGATACCTTATAAAAAAAAATGTCGTTTACAGTATAAGCGAGGTCATAAACGAAAAACCAAAAGAAAGTGCATCATAATCAGCTGGTGCCATTTGAGGGTTACCACGACCAAAAGAAGAAGAGTTGAAGCTGGCGTACTGAAAATAAACTAAACAAACTGTTTAAATAAATAAAGGTTGCATATTCGTATGATTAAACATCGACAATGATAGGGAATTTAGGAATTACATATACCTATATACCTTTACAGAAAAACTATTATATTATTCACCTGAAAAATTTTGTCTAAATCGTTTACCAAACGGGCAAAATAGCGGCTTCCCAAACCTCCATAGTTCTGAATCATAGACAATTTCCCACTCACGACGCGACTACTTTGAACGCTGCCCTTCTTTGTAATTTTCGATGTCGATTCATTGTTCCTTCGGAAAGCCTCGTACATAAAAATCTCCGAACTCATAATTATTAACTGTAATTTTTAAAAATAATATCGTTTACCAAATTTCGCCAAGTTTTGACTTTTTATATTTAAAATAGACATATCGCAAATGTAAAAGTGACATTTGCATCAACAGCATATGAAATGATGCAAGTTATGTAACGTACTTATCAAACACCCTGTATATTATATTTTAATCGAAATGTATTTATAAGATTACAAAACGGAGATCATGAAGATGCTCTCAATGCACAAATAGGCAACTTAAAATACACAATCGCGTTACACGGGTCATATACGCACAAAATGTACACATTTAAAATAAATAAAAATCTATTTTAATTAGTCCCAGACACATTTCGATTTGTGGTCTGATTCATTATAGAATATTATTGAGAATAAAAAAAATGAAAATGCATATTGAAAATCAAAAACCAGTAGGAAACGGGCTGTCTCCCTTAAAATTTTCATTCGAAATACAAAAAAATCGAAATAGAATCGATTATTTTTAAAATGGATGATACTTAAATGGAGGGGGGGCTTACGACAATTTTATTTACAGAAGTTGAATTTTTAATAAAATTCATAATACCGATTCCACCGTTGTGTTAAACGAAGTTTAAAATGACATTTTTACATTAACAATGTCATTTTAGTCTCCGTTTAATGCAACGGTGGAATCGGCCCTATTAATTTTAGCTAAGGTTGGTTCTAAGGGCGGCTTTAAGACGAATTTTAGCGGGGGGAGGGGGGCATTGCCTTTAGATATTCCCCTTTTAGCATATTTTTTTGAATAAAAGTCTCATAAATCGTAAAACTTTTCATCTCAGTGGGGGGGGGGGGTTCCCATAGCCCCCCTGGAGCCACTCTTGGTTTGTTCAGGTTCCAGGTTCTTTAAAAATGTATTAAAAACTATTCGAGAGCTAGTTGATCAGTAGAAAGTATAAAAGTTGTTAATTTGTATGCGACATGTGACCATAGACATTGCGACGACCACAGGACTGGTCTGGAGCGCAAGACTTTTCGAGGGCGTCAATTTTCATTAGTGTTATATTATTTTTTGCTATTAATAATTATTAGTTATTTTTATTCATGTTCTAAATCAAATAGAAAATATTATTAGATGTATGCAGTGGCCACACAAGGCCGTATTTAAGGGGCGGGTTTTAGGGATTAGAACACTTCCCAAAAAATTATTCGGTCGGTGGTGTAGCATTCTAACGCGCTTATATTCATTTATAGACAAGTTTATGGTCTGAATCTCAGACCAGACAATGTGGATTTTTAATTAAATTGCATGGTTCGGTATACGATTGTGCCCTATTAATAGAAATTCAATTTCTGTTGATATGACATTTAAAATCTGGATTGAATTATGAATACACTTACTGCAAGCGTAACTATAGATAGCGTAGCGTAGATAAATTTTCACATAGTGCAAGGCGATTTTATTTTTATTTTTTTTTAATTACTTATTTACTTATTAAGTTTGTTTTACATTATTTTCTACATTTTTTGCGTTATTTATATTTTTTAATCTTATGACGATAATAACAATTAGCAATGACGGATCTAGAGGGGGCCAGAGGGGCCCGGGCCCCTATCAAACCTCATATTTCGTATGTTTTCTCTTGTTGTTGATTCACATTTATCTTCTTCTTATATATTATGTATTGTATGGTCCCCTCCCAAAAAAAAAAACATGTCTAGATACGCTACTGACAATTAGTACTTATATTATTACATAATTTTGTGGGGGCCCCCAAATTTTTACCACCGCCACTGGATGTATGACTATCCTCTGTTGGAGTTTGGCTAGGAAAATAAGTTTCTTTTTTCTTGTTTCCCATAAGGTTTTCTTAATTTTACGGTAATAAATTGCCTTTTTCTAGTTTCTGACTCTTTTTTATAACTTTACTGGTGTTTTCTAATGAAAAGCGGCGCATTATTTTTAGTAGCCCACAGACGCCGAATATCTTAAGACGGTCCTGCCACGGTGTCCCTGTATCTCTGACTGTTTATCAAATTTTAAGAATAAATTTAATCTTAATTTAAATCAGTACTTATAGATTGGTTGTACCGTCATTTATATAACTATAGATATATATATTTATTGAATTAAATTCATTTTAAAAAGAGATAATAGTAGAAAAATTAAAAAAAAGGCGAGAATATTTCGATTCTTTTGAGATAATCGAATGAATTAGTTGTTCGATTCTAAAAATCGAATAGCATCTTTTCCGATTCTGACTGAAACTTCATTTTCATTCATACTCGTCTGCCAGAAAATGACAAGTGTGTTACTGTGTAATAAAATTTCATTCAACTTCGAATTTTCGGTAACAATTACGTGATGTTAAGTGGTAAAGTGAGTTAAAATTATGTAAATGTGGCGAATAGTGTGTAGTGACCCTTCTGGTTAAATTTAAGACGAAAAACGTTCCACAAAATGGCAGGTCGCAATCGTCCTGTCCAACACAAAAACCTCTCAACAATATTTTCGAAATTACAAGGTGCATTTTCCGACGTAGTTACTCACCCCAAGTATGCTACCGATAAACGAACTCTCGATAAAACATGGAAACTTATGGATAAGGTGGTAAAATTATGTCAACACCAGAAGATGAACCTCAAAAATTCACCCCCGTTTATTTTGGACATTCTCCCCGATACCTATCAGAGACTAAGGCTGATATATTCAAAATACGAGGACAATTTGCAGGCTCTTCACTCAATTGAACATTTTAATATATTTATTATTAATTTAATGCGAAAGTGTAAGCAAGCTATCAAATTATTTAAAGAAGGTAAAGATAAAATGTTCGATGAAAGCTCACATTATCGAAGGAACTTAACGAAACTTAGTTTAGTGTTTAGTCATATGTTGAGTGAATTAAAAGCACTTTTTCCAAATGGTATATTTGCTGGTGATTTGTTTAGGATTACCAAGTCTGATGCTGCAGATTTTTGGAGATCAAATTTTGGAAACAGGTGAGTTTCTTATATCTAATAATACTAGTAAACCACGTAAGTCAACTTTTGGCAAATTTATGCTTATATCATAAAAATAGTACTTACAGATTATGTGCAAAAATTACACAAATCCCATTAATTGTTAAATAAATACAAGCTTTTTAAATTTTTGTAATCATTGCAAATACCATATAAACTGTGGTTTTTGTAGGGACAGTCAGTTTTTTTAAGATGGCATTGTATCAGCTTATTATTATCTTCGAACTACATTTTAAAATAATTGTTATTAAAAGTTTTAAGTAGTTATATTTTTGTTTTTATTTACTGACAAAACAAATTAAAAAATTGGTCCATTCAAAAACCACAAATCAATTTAAATTTCTCCATTATTTAACAAAGCTAATAGCACAAATAAAATACAAAAGAATATCTAAAATATAAAACAAAATATAACCCTTTAAACACTAAAATATTACAGATGGTGGCTCATTAACTTATAATCTATTAATTTATATTTAGAGGTATTAAATGACACGAAATTTCTGAGTTCTTAAAAGTTTGAAGTCCCTTAAAATTATCTACAGAATTTAGATCTGTTTCTTGTGTTATAGTTATGATGGTCAAAGTTTTAATTGCTTTTATCAAGCAAATGAGAAGGAACCTGTCCATGTTTAATTTTATAAATCAATATCAAAGTTAAGAAAATATTTAAGCCATTGTACATTTTGTAACATCCATAATACCTATATTGGTACTTTTATCGCATGACTATAATATCCTCATTGCTCTATTTTGTAATTTTTGAAGTAAATGGTTACACAATAGTGAAATGAGGCAAACTGTGGCATTTGGGAGACATATGTTAACTCCAAAAAAAATGTATTTTTGTTAACTCTACTAATATAAATATTTTTTTATTAATTTTCAATTGATTTAACTATATGTTAAGTCCAGCACTACTAGTAAATCTGTTATAATTTAGTCCACTTTATTAAATTTTTGTTTGGTACAATCTTGTTCAAATATTATATCATGTGTTATTATGTCATGCAGTTATACTGTTATATGAAAGAATCAATGACCATTTATTATTTTGAGCAGTAGTACAAGTAGTTGATTTTAAATGCTACTGTTTTAACTATAAGTATAAGTAGTGTGCATGATTTTTAAAATACAACATATGGTCTACTCGTGCTATGATACCTATTTTTTAATATGTCATTTTTTCCTCTCCTAGTAACTACATATTTCTATAATTCTATTAAATTCTGCTCCTGGTTGTAAAATTATCTCAATTGAAACACTATATCCTTAAAAACACTTTCTTAATTCCCTACCCAAACCTCTGCCATTTTTACCTGATAATATCAAAATCTTTTTGTTTCTTGACATTCTTTATTTCAATGTCACTTTTAAAACTCTTATTCTTGATATTAATTTGTAAAATTTTTAATTGGTTTAGGTATATTATACTGTCTTTTCCTAAGTTTTTAATCTTTCATCAGTTTAATGTTCTTATTTTTTAATTGAGTTAGCTGATCAATCATATTTCTTTGGTTATCCTATAATGCAAAATTTAAAACTCTTAACTTTTTACTTACATCCATAAAGTTTTCGTTTTCAATTTTAACATATTTGTGGCAACCTTGTTCATTTTTGTTCTACTCAGATCATCACTTAATTTAAGGGAGGATAGTGTAGTGGACTCAATTTAAAATTAAATGCCTTCCTAGGACACTTCTCTGATAACAAACTTGATATAAGGACACTTGTGCCCACCTTTATGTATTTCTTATGGAGATTGTGATTGTGCCATTTTCAGTGGTCCAGTAATTGTCTGCAATTGCAGTTTTGTCCCTACACATGTGTCTGCAAGAATGGGTTAAGCACGCCAATGGTTTTCTCATAATCAATGTTTTTCAGGCTCCAGTGTAGTTAACTTGTTCCTGTTTACAGTATTCAACTCCATAATATCCATTTACAATTTTAATCTTTTTCCATTATGGTTTTGTCATATTCTTTTACTTTAAAGTTTAGAGTTGAGAGACTCATTCTGACTCAATTTGCCTAAACTGCTTTGCAACTTTTTGCTTCAAACATTGACTCTGCTTCTATTACTAAGTTTTGCAAACTGCAGATTTTTGGAGATCAAATTTTGGTAACAGGTGAGTTTCTTATATCTAATAATACTAGTAAATCACATAAATCGACTTTTACCAAAATTAGGTGTATATCATAAAAAGAGTACTTACAGATTATGTGCAAAAATCACACAAATCACATTAATCAAATAAATAAATATTTAAATAAATTAACCTTTTTATCACATTTTAAAATGATTTTTATTAAAAGTTTTGATTAGGTAGATTTTTTGCTTTTATTTCCTTTCAAAACAAATTAAAAAATTGTTCCATTCAAAAGCCACATAAGTCAATAACAAAAAAATATTAATTTTTTCTTTAACTTGGGTTTTTTACATTTTCCTTTCTTTGTAATATTTCTCCTTTGTTTAACAAAGCTGGTAGCACATTACAATTTAAAAAAATTACAAAAAAATATATCTATATCTAAAACAGGAAACAAAATCTATTATTTTATATTTAAAGGTATTAAATGGGGCGACATTTTTAAGTTCTAAGGGTAGCTCAGTAAAAGCTTAAAGTCCCTTAAAAATACTGAATTTTGGCACTGTTTACTTGCGACCTGCAAAATATGAAAATTTAGACCTGTTTCTTGTGTTATAGTTGTTATTTATCTTATCAAACAAATAAGAGGGGACCATGAATGTTAAAATTAAGTAAAGAAAATAGTTTTTAAAAGAAAGCTATTGTAAATTTTGTAACATCCATAATATAGGTATTCATACTATGAACAGAATTTATTTGTAGACCGACTATACAAGTATTTTTCAAATTATGACATTTTTAATACAGGTTTGTTTTCTTTAAAGTGTCAACTTTCATTACATTATTGACTTAAACTCCTAACTTTTTATTTATATCCATAAAGTTTTCGTTTTCAATTTTAACACATTCACAGCAACCTGGTTCATTTTTTATCTACTCAGATCATCACCTAATTTAAGACAGTAGACTCAATTTAAAATTAAATGCCTTCATGGGACATTTTTCTGATATATAAGGACACTTGGGCCCACCTTTATGTATTTCTTATGGATATTGAAACTGCAATTGCAGTTCTGTCCCTAAACATGTGTCTGCAAGTGCAGACACATCCATGAATGGGTTAAGCATGCTAATGGTTTTCTCTTAATGAATGTTTTCAGCCTCCAACATCTTCATTGTAGTTACCATGTTCCTGTTTATAGTATTTAACTCCTTAACATACAGTTGCAATTTTAATATTGTCTCATCTTTTTTCATTATGGTTTTGTCATATTCATTTATTGTAGACTGTGTACTTTGAAGTTTAGAGTTGAGAAACTCAATTTTTCTAGACTGCTTTGCAATCTTCACTTCAAATATTAACCCTGTTTCTATTACTAAGTTTTCGAAACTTTAACTGCTTCTTTTTAGTCCTTTTGGAAATTTTTAACTCTAATTTCTTCATAATTTTGTATGTTTTCACATTGAAATGAGTAATATATTAATATATTAAAGTCTCTATCAAGGCAACTTGGATTCAGGACGTCAAAAAAATTTATATAAACTAATGGGTTAATTCTGAAAAAATCTATAAGATCTGTAAGCTAAAATCTGTAAAAAATTACTTTACTATATCTTACAGAATCTGTAGCTTATTGGATATTTCCCAAAATCCTACCATAAATTTTATAATTCTTGTTTGTTATGACATTTGAAATAAGCTATTTTATTTTTATTTTATATCTGGTACACCACTGTACTGTTTTGAAAAAAGTTGTTCATTTATCAGCTGGCTTCTTTACTATACTATATCTAAATTTGAAATATGTAAAGGTATGGTATACTTTTTAGAAGTTTTAATTAAATTTATTGTAAACCTAGGTACATAAGTACTCCAGTACATATTAATGTGATTTCTACCAGTTAATTAAATCCTTTATGTCTTAATGAATGGGTACAAATTAAGAAGTAACACTGTCTAGCTGGCACTTTATAATAAAAGTGATTAGTCACTGGTACTTAATTTTGTGATTTTAATTTGCAGATGTGTTTTTGATCAGACATTATTAAACTGACCTCATGCCATTGTGATGCATTAATCTAGTCTTTTATTGATTCTTAGTATAATGAAAAATTTTTATTTTCTCAGAATGACATTAAGCGCGGATTTTTAATGACACTTGATGGACTTAAAAGTTGTATTTTTTCTGTCTAGGCAGAAAAAGACTACTTTTTTTTTATATATCCTGAATTTCTTTTAAAAACTTAGTGTGGCTGAAAAACCTAGACTAGATGACAGCAAATGCTTTTATTGTTATAAAAGTTTATAGGTATATCATTGTCAGTAAAAAAATGAAAAAAATCATCAATTAGCAACTTTACTTTGCATTTGACAGGTCACTCAACAGCTCCCATCACTGGGACAGTAAATGTTGTTCATCTCCCTCTCCTATACTCAAGTATAAATGGCAGGACATGCCAGTTGTTGCAGTCAGATGAGAGACTGAAATTTTCTCTTTCATTTAGCGAAATTACAGAAAATCATATTTTTTTCCTCAATAACTGTCACAGATACAAAAAAAACTACAAGAGCTCAAAACGTTTCTAAACAAAATAGCGCACTGCAAGAGAGTTCAGGTGAAAAATAGCTGCAAGACTCCTGAAACAATATCATCCTACTATTCAGCATGCCCAATGATGTAACAACCTAGATTCCAATTTTGAACTAAATATATCAAAAACTGCAGGAGTTAAAATCTACAATTTAAAATAAATATCCAAAATATAATAATGAAAAATTTTTAGTTATCATCAAAATACCTATATGTCTCCAAAAAAGGTATAAAATATTACTTTATTTAGAAACTTAAATTCCTGGGTAAAAAACATTATTGCTCATTAAAAATTTAAGGA